TCTCTCTCTCTCTCTCTCTCTCTCTCCTGTCCATGGTTAGCGTCTGGGGAGAACTCCATCCATCCATCATCATCAACCCATTGACCTCGAGCTCTCCTGACCCTCATAACTCTCTGCCTCACTCCAGCAGAAGCTCCAGGATCCCTTGGAACGTCTCATCTCTGAGGGGAGTGCTGTGGGAGTTGTGGGGGAAGGGAGGCGAGAGGCTTTTGTCCACATCTCTGTGTAATTATATTCTCTCCTGTCACCCATTAGTATCCTAATTAAACCTGTGTAGTTCAGTTTTAAATCCAGTCAAGTCTATCTCTTTTTCTCTCTCTCCTTCCCTACCTGGGTGGGAGGGGGAGGGGATCGAGAGCGTTGTCACCCGAGTCAAACGGTGACACTGGGCTAGCAGGTTCATTGCTCTGACAGGCCATGAAGTAGCTCAGTTGTCACCTCCATCTAGATGGAGGTGCCCCAGGTCTGGGGGACTCATGTTGATGTCCAGTGCTCACATGGTGGCTTGGCTGACACTGCAGCTGGTGTCCTTTTGGATGGCTTAGGGACTGAGAGATTGAAGGTGCTTCTCTTGGGGATGCTGAAGCAAGAGATGGCTCTGGAGGTGGGAAGACCTTGTTTCTTCTCCTGGGCTGCAGGACTGGCAGTGAAACCAGAATTGATGGCATCCTGGGGACATTCCTGGCCCTTAGATTGCCTCAGGCACTGGCAGCAGTGACAATCTGGCTGCAGTCCATAAAACACTGAAGCTCTTTCTGCACAGAACTCTTCCCTTCCCTAGTGCTCCTGCAAGGGCTACTGTGGCAACAGGCATTGTGGCTGCAGGAAGCAGAAGGTGGGCTGCACTGAAGGCTGCAGCTGTGACTCTGCAAAATGCAGGAACAGAGATCCCAGTTTCCAGGTGAGTAGCACTGCAGCTGGAGCAGGCTGAGGGGATGGGATCAGGCACAGAACCATTCAGGTTGGAGAAGCCCCTTGGGATCACCAAGTCCAACCATCATCCCTGCTCTACAAAGTTCTCCCCTAAACCAAATGACCCTTCAGCACACCCAGGGATGGTGACTCCACCACCTCCCTGGGCAGCCTGTTCCAGGGTCTGACCACTCCTGCTGTGAAAAAATCCTTCCTGGTGTCCAGTCTGAACCTGCCCTGGTGCAGCTTCAAGCCCTTCCCTCCTGTTCTGTCACTAATGACCTGTGAGAAGAGACCAGCACCAACTTCCCTACAATGACCTTTCAGGTGGTTGCAGAGACTGATGAGGTCTCC